CCTCAGTTAGCCAAGACCAAAACCCCAACAAGCTTCGCATTTGAGAAAACATACAGAATTATAAAATGGCACTAGGATTCCTGAGCACGGCTTCCTGCAGTCACCAACCGTGCCTGAAAGTCCTCATCAAGATGGCCAGCATGTTCTAAACGTTCAAGGTGATGTCTGCACGGACAACGTCCATTGTAGGTCTAGAGTCCAGCCATCATCCTGATTTTGAGGGATGAGCCCCACGTGAACGCCCTAACTCTCACACCTTCCCCCTGCTGCTGGGAGCGCCAGGCGCAAGTTCCCGAGATGAGATAACGCCTCGCTCACGGCCAGTGAGCCTTCACGCTCTTCAAAGTCAAGGCTGAGATGGGCTTTGGGGAATAAACGGATTTTATTTTAAGCACAGTAGATTTGCTTGCCAGGCGAGACTTGATTTCAAAGTTGCACTAAGTTCTGGAAAATCAGGTTTCTGTATTGCACACTCCCACACTTCGGCAGAGGATGAGGACACTCCCTGACCCATGCCCACCTCTGGGTCTGGGGAGACTCTATCAGAGGCCTGACACTCACGTGGTGGGGCTGTGGCCCCGGAACTCAGGAAAGCCTGCCCCAGGACTGGTTTCGGTTGAAGAACCGTGGCTAGCAGTGTGTGTGCGTTTATGTATGTGTGTGCATGCATGTGTGTGCATATGTGCGCATACATGTGTGCATGTGCTTGCGTGTGGGCCCACAAGCTCTGTCTCCTGCTTTTCAACAACTCTCTGAAGTAGTGATAATTTTCTCTTTCTAAGAAAACTGCAGCATGAATGGGACAGGAGGTCATCGTGTTAAGCAAAATGTGACAGGCACAGAAAGACAAGCCTCACATGTTCTCGCTCACATGCAGGCGCTGCAAAGCAGACTTCGTGCTATGGAGAGGAGGGGGTGGTCCCAGGGCCTGGGAGAGGAAGGAGGGAGGGGAGAGAGAGGTCGATGAAGGGGCTCAAACATGCAGGTGGATGGAATAAGTGACCATGTTCAGTAGTAGAGTAGGGAAGTTAGGGCTAACAAGAATGTGGTGTATATTTCCAAAGTGCTAGAAGACAAGATCTGGAATGCTCCCGTTGCAAAGAAAAGGGTTTGTGGCTGAGCACAGTGGCTCACGCCTGTAATCCCAACACTTTGGGAGGCCAAGGTGGGTGGATCACTTGAGCCCAGGGGTTCAAGACAAGTCTGGGCAACAAAATGAAACCCTGTCTCTACAAAAAAAAAAAAATTAGCTGGGCGTTGTGGCACATGCCTATAGTCCCAGCTACTTGGGAAGCTGAGGCTGAAGAACTACCTGAGCCCAGGAGGTAAGGTTGCAGTGAGCCTGGGCAACAGAGCGAGGCCCCAACTCAGAAAAAAAGTGTTTGAGATGATGAACACCCCGATTCCCCTGATCTGGTCTTTGCACAGTGTATACAAGTGTCAAAATATCACATGTACTCCAAAATATGTACAGTTATGATATATGCATTTTTTAAAAATCTTGACTGTTTCCAGGTAGTCTAGATGAATTTTTCTACAATTCGAGTTTTTCTCAAAAATCAGGGAAAGCAACTGAGGATGCTGACGAGAGGGGGCAGCTGGTGGGATGCCCAGGGCCCCGAGACACGGTGGGCCGGGGCAGGGGGCAGTTGCTGGCCAGCTGTGGTCACAGGATCTGGAACCTCAGCCGCGGCAGTGTCCTTACATGGAAGGTGATTTCCAGTGTGACCTCAACTGGTGAATGTCACAATTTTTTTAGTCCAAAAGTTATATTTCTTCCATGTGATACCGGCCTGAGCAAATCACACAGCAAGAAATGTTTTATTTTCAACAAAAACCATGATACAGAATTCCATTTACGGTATAGTCTCAAACACATTAGAGAGACAGACTAACAGGAAAAATGGGAAAAATACAAAGACACAAAAATATGAACTACTTTGGAAGTCACGGGCCTACGCAAGATTTTCCCAAGCTTTCTTCATGTTATGGAGACGCCGAGCTCTTTAGGGCATATTTTTTAACAGTCCTGGATTGCTGGAAACACTGATGTAACTTAACGAACACAAGGTGCAGCAGTAGGTAAGTGTATTGACCTGTTTGTTTGGTAAATCTGAGACGAGACACAAACACACTCTGGTTATAAAATCTGCAGGAACCATCTTGCCCCGGGTCCTATAAAGAAATGTGTAAGGCTGAGTGCAGTGGCTCACTCCCATAATCCCAGCACTTTGGGAGGCTGAGGCGAGAGGATTGCCCGAGCCCAGGGGTTTAAGACCAGCCTGAGCAGTTTGGTGAGATCTCATCTCTACAATAAATAAAAAATCAGCTGGGCATGGGGACACATGCAAGCCACTGCACTCCAGCCTGGGCGACAGAGGGAGACTCCTCAAAAAGAAAAAAAAAGAAATGTGTAAAATGCTAAGACCATTAGTCCAGTCAGCAGGCAAATGCAGTCTGGACTTTCTCTTTCTCGCCCATCCTGCATTCCAATCAGCACCATCCTCTGCTGAGTACCTTCCCTGCAGAGTCCATCAGGACAGAGATTGCAACTCAAACTCTGTTTCCCTGAGGAAACACTTAATAATGCCTCTGTGTCATGCACAACGCTGGGACTCCATAAGGGACCACGTTTCACCTAGGCACCGTCAGGTGGGCGCTCCCAGCGTCACAACCCAGCTTCCATCTCACGCCCTGTCTCTCCCTGCCTCTTGGACGGGACTGTCACCATCGTCACCACCCCAATCCGGGTACAAGTTATATTTCTTCCATGTGATACAGGCCTGAGCAAATCACATAGCAAGAAATGTTTTGTGGGACGCTCATCCCCTGCTCGCTCTTCCCGAGACACAACCCCCACCTCTGCTGCCCCCACAGCCTCCCCCAGGCTCAAGTCCTACTTCTGTTCAACCTTCCCCAGATCGTGGTCACAGCCAGTCCCTTCACCCGTCACTCCCTGTAGTGCAGGCAATTCTGGGATACACTCCCTCAGGAGCAAGCCCTGATGTCCACACCCTCCTGCCCCAGCTTCCCCTCCACCCCGCCTGGCTCATGCTATTCTGTGGAACAGACGCTGCCCCATGGTGCACCATAAGAACATGCTCATTTAGTCTGCAAGATAGAAGTGGGCCCTAGCTAGGGAGAGTTTTTAGCAGTGCTCACTTGTGCAGAATACCATGCTGCCCGTGCCACTCACTTACCACCAAGGTTACTATCAGCAGTCACATTATAAGATGATTACCATTTACTGAGCATTCCCATGCACCAAGTCTGAGCCACACCCCATGAGTTAGCACATCCCGAAGTCATCCCTTAAAAGGAGGCCACACCTGCTATGGTGTTCTCGAGTCATGGAGGGACCCCCAGTCTATAAAAACAACACTGTTTCTGGAAGACACACCCAAGCCAACTCGGTCATGCTAGTTGTAGATGTTCACAGAAATCATCTCCTAAACTATTCAGGAATAGTTTACGCATCCCAGAGACAGAGAGACACCGAAATTTAGCATGGATATAGTAATAATTCCTAGGGCATGACTTCACAATTGCTGTTGCTAGAAGTTTTGTAAATAAGCTTCCTAAAGACCACTTTACAGGAAAAAAAAAAACCACATGGTTAACAGAGCCACGAGTGTACTCTAACAGGAAAATTCCAAAATGTTTGGAAATTCACCACTGAGGCTGGGATAAAATTCCCAATGCCAACATCATGGAAGGATTCAAGAAGCTCCGCCTGGAAAACTCTCCAGGAGGCAGAGACGAGGCCCTTAAGAAACTCTTAGCAACTCAGAACACGGTTCTGGTGAGAACAGACACTCAGGGTGGGAGGTCCCGCCAGAGTCTGAACAAAGGGGTTCCGTGAAACATGGCAGCAGGGTGTTACGGGAATCCACCAATATAGTCACACTTCAGGCCACATCATGCCCTGCCGAAAACTAGGCCCACCTGGAGCAGCTTCTCTGGAGACTGCCGAGCTGGCCGGGAGCAGGTCCTCCTGCTGTCCCTGCGACAGGGTTGAGCAGGTGATGCATCCCAAGCTCCCTAAAGACCCCCAGCCCTCAGAAGATCCATCAGTTCCAAACAGATGTCAGCATATCAAGAGAGACAAGAGCACCAGGAAGGGATGAGGTGCTGAACTGGCCCTCCACCGTGCTCTGTCTCGATACATTGAAGTGAACTGGAGAAATGTTGGAGCAGCAGAGGGCGCCATGCACATCCAGGCAAGTGGCTGGCTTGGGGCCACGTGTCCCCTGGAAGACCCAGAGCCCCGGTCTCCTGTGTTTGACCCAAATCTCAGAGCAGGGACCAAGCCCAAAACATGCACGGCCTTTCTGCCTTGGCCCCAAACTCTAGGCTGGAGAGTGACAGCAAGAACCTCAGAACCCAGAAGACCACGGAGGGGTCTCAGGATGATGGCACTCTCATGTCTAGTCTAGGTGAGTCCACTTCAGCCTCATAGGGGTAGGTGCAAGCTTGCAAAAGATGCGTGGAGGCCTCGGGGCCCTACCCAGGGTGGGTCTGTCCCCACACAGGGCAGGGCCCTGTGGATACATCCTGTGAGGACTCCCCTTTTTTTTTTTTAATGTGAAGCTGTTGTAAAGGCTGAAGGCAGGTGTGAGATTTTCTTGGCGAGCTCTTTAAACTTTTACTCAGTCACAGATGAGAAGGAGAATCTAATCTCTCATTTAATAAGACAATAAAAGAGAACAGTGTTAGCAGTGTGGAAAACTCTATTTTTGCCCAAATTGTGACACTTCTAAAATACCCACTGTCACTGTTGTTTGACGAAGAGTCACAGAAGACGTTCTGAGGACCGCGTTTCCTGCCACGTAGCATTCACTCCTGGCCTTTGGCTTGGCTTCCCCAGAGAGGCTGGCAGGCCCTGTGGCTCCAGCAGCGTCCACTCACCTGGACGCACAGCCTCGAGCCACCCACTCACCTGGTGTGCAGGCCCGGGCCGTCCACTCACCTGGACACGTGGCCCCAAGCCAGCCACTCACCTGGATGTGCATGGCGCCCTCTGCTGCTGCCTGGAGGTCAGGGCAGCCGCTAATGAGTGACAGCTGTCCCTCCACACTCAGGGGGCCCTTCAGGGCGCCGACCTGCTCCAGGGCCATCATCTCCTTTCTGAAAGGAAGCAGAGAGAGGCCCCGTGAGAATCCCAACACAAAGTCACAAACACACACCTCGATGTCACTAATCCCCAGGACAAGGCGCATCAGAACCACAAGGCCAACCACAGCAGCCGAGAAACGGGAAACGCCAGCCATGGGGGGGATGTGGAGACACCACAGTTGTCGTGCACGGCAGGTGAGACCCTTGAGAGCGGCCCTCGGGGACAGTTCGCACCCACATTCCCAGAAGCAGCATTTGACAGCCAAGAGGCAGGAGCAACCCCAGTGTCAGGGACCAATGGGTGGAAAACAAGACAGAAATGCACGCAGGTGAATGTGATTAACCTCAGCGAGGATGGGGAGCCTGACAGGTGCCCGTGGACTCTGAGGATGTGACAGGGAGACATGACAGATGTGGAAGGTCCCCCCTGTGTGACCCCACGACGCAAGGCACCGAGAGCAGAGGGATCAGAGGCAAACGGGGACGGGCCACAGGCTGAGGGTGTGGGGGCATTTGACAGGGACCACTTCTGTTGGGAAGGCAAGAGGTTCTGGAGATGGTGACGGGGACGGTGGAGCCACAATGTGAATGCACGTAGGACACTTGAGACTGTCAGGATGATAAATACGTTATATACATTTTATTGCAATTAAACATTCCTTGACTCAAATTTCAAGAAATAAATGAGGACAACCCCTTTGGGTCCCCTCCCACTGTGGGACCTTTTTTGTCCTCTCAATAAATCCTGCTTCCAAAGAAATAAAAATAAATAATAAATAAAAGATGAAACCAGCCCTGAGGGGGACGGGTCCTTCGTCCTCCATCCATCGGGGGGGTGCAGGGATTGAAGGTGTGCCGTCCTCGGGGCGGCCTCCCGTGTGACCTGGCAGCCCCCAGGCTGCGCGCGGAGGGGCCTGTGCAGGGTTGAGGGCTGGGCTGCCACCCTCCGAACGTGCAGCATAGATGTTGAACGAGGGGCCCCGCATGTTCCCACGAGTGACAGGGCCAGAGCTGCTTAATCATGAGGGTTAAGTAAAACGGACAGAGTGGGGGTGGGACACACACAGTTGCCCAGGCCAACAGGCCCCGACCTCGTTGGCATTAGGGACTGGTTTTGTGGAAGGCAGTTTTTCCACAGACAGGGGTAGGAGTGGTTTGGGGACCATTCGAGCACACTCCCTATAGTGTGCACCTTATTTACATTGTTACATTGCAATGTTACAATGTTACCTATTGTTACATTGTAATATATCATAAAATAATCATACCACTCATCATCATGCAGAATCAGTGGAAGCTGAGCTGCTTTTCCTGCAACTAGACCATCCCATCTGGGGTGATGGAGACAGTGACACCCACAATGGGTGCTTATGTCCCGTCAACTCCAGTCTCACTTTGGCTGTGGTCACTGCAGAAAGCCCTGCTGCACACAGACAGCATGTTGGAAATGAAAGCAGACTTCTCAGCGCTGACCTGACAGGAGGCGGAGCCCAGGCAGTGATGGGGGGGATGGGAGCAGCTGTAAGTGCAGATGAAGCTTCTCTCGCTGGCTGCCACTCACCTCCGGCTGGGCAGCCCGGTTCCTAATGGGGTTTGGGACCTTTGGCCTAAGGACCAACATCCTGCCTTACACGATGACTGTGGACTCTGCGCCAGTGGGTCGAATAACTGTTACATCATCACAGCGTGGCTCTTCTCTTTAAGTAGCTGATACTCCGAGCCTAAAGCCACCCTCTGCAGTGGAACCTATCAGGCGGCCATGCTGGGGAGGCAGGGAACACCATGGTGTGTGTCCAGAGGGACCGGAGGGCCGCCACCGGGAATGGGCTTTGGCTCTGGGGCGGGGAGGTTGGAAGCACATCTGAGGTGGGTCACTGGACCGGACACTCTCAGAGGCAAGGGCAGTCCAAAGACTGGAGATGTCACTAAGTCCCATTCACGTGGAGGGAGACCAGACCCAAGACAAAACCAATGGGTGAAGGGGTGGCAGTGCCCATCTGAGCTGAGAGGGAATGTGACATCTGTGGGCTATGCAGAGATGGGATGTGGGCCCACACCTGGGCACTCTGACACGCCTGGCTCGGCCTCCTTCCACCTGGTCTGAGGGCCTCAGTGGAAGCACAGAGACCGTGTGTCGGCCCATGCCTGGGCACTTCGGATGTGCCTGGCTTGGCTTCCTCCCACCCTGGTCTGAGGGCCTTGGCGAGTGTCAGACCAGCTCTCAGAAGGATGGCAGGGGCCACTCTTGTTGTGTTTGTGTTTCTTCTCTTTCTTTTTTTTTTTTGAGTTGGACTCTCAGTCTGTCGCCCAGACTGGAGTGCAGTGGCCACTCCCGGCCACCGCAGCCTCACCTGCTGGGCTCCGGCGATCCTTCCGCCTCAGCCTTCCGAGTAGCCGGAACTACAGGCGCGCTACCACGCCCGGCTGATTTTTTGATTTATTGTAGAGATGAGGTCTCGCTGCCCAGGCGGGTCTCGAACCCGCAGACTCAGGCAATCCACTCACCTCAGCCTCCCAAAGGCGCGGGATTACAGGCTGAGCCACCGAGCCCGGCTTCTTCTCTTTCTTAAATCTGTACTTTCTGCATGTGGCTTCAGGTACAAATGGAGGGAAAGAACGTTTCTTGCTGCTATTACTACAAAACAAAAACACGCTGAAACACAAATCAACTTCCTTACTATCTTTGGCAAACAGGAACCTTGTGGAAGGATGGCAAGCCTCCACCCATCAGGCAGACGTGAAGCCTCCCCTGCCGGCAGGACAAACAGCCACTGTAGCACCATGCACACAGGTCCTGGGCGGGAGGGGCGACGTGCAAGACCCTTCTCCTACGGTGATTTGGAAGGCCTGCGGTTACATTCACTGAAAAATCTACCTCAAAATGGGGCCAGATGCGGCGATCTCATCTGGAGGACCATAAGGACAGTCAAATGTCCCTACTCAGACCTTGCCACCCACAGAGCAGCTCAACGCTGGGTCCCGAGAATCCCAATGATCATCCCCAGTGAGCAGTCATTTTAAACGTATTCTAAAGAACAAATTACTTGAAGTAGAGGCTTATAAAGTTATTTAGTGAAATATACACAAAACAGGCCAAGCACAGTGGCTCATGCCTGTAATCTCAGCACTTTGGGAGGTCGAGGCAAGAGGACTGTTTGAGCCTAGGTGTTCAAGACCAGCCTGGGTAACAGAGTGAGACTCCATGTCTACAAAAAATGTTTAAATTAGCCATGTTCAGTGGCGCATCCTACAAAAATTTTAAAAATTAGCCAGGTTCAATGGCACATTCTTGTAGTGTCAGCTACTCAGGAGGCTGAAGCAGGAGGATCACTTGAGCCCAGGAGGTCGAGGCTACAGTGAGCCATGATCACACTCCAGCCTGGGCGACAGAGTGAGATCCTGTCTTTAAAAAAGCAACATTAAGAAAAATGTACAAAACGAAGGATGTGTCTCAGCCAGTTCCTCGGGAAGTTCACATTAGCTGTATAGGGTATTGTGAGGTGTCTCAGCAACAGATCAGAAACAGAAGAGTTACAGGTTCAGCAGCTAAAATCAAGAAAGAACTGGTTCAAGGTAAGTGCTGGCAGATAGACTTCTGAAGCATCACTGAGAGAAGTACAGCAAAAAGGGTCACGAGAACAAGTTCCCCTGCGAAGATAAAAAGGGAACGTACCACGTGCAGACCCCGAGGTCATGTGATCCCAATCAAATACCCTTGGCAAGTCTCCCGCTGCAGACGGTGCCCGTCATCTGCATCACCAGGGAAAAGCACCCCACGTGATCCAGAGAGCATTTACTTTTCATTCATTGTCTGGTTTTGATCCATCTTTCAAAACCGTTTAGTTACACAACTCTCCAAACATGCTAAAAAAAAACACTGAGTTGTGCATATTACACGAGTCAGTTGTGTGGTGTGTGGGTGCAACTGCGAGAGAGCTGCTGCATTCGTATCTGCTGCTGCTGTAACAAGTCGCCACAGGCTCATGGGCTTAAACAACACAAATGTGTTATCATACAGTTCTGGAGGTCAGAGGCCTCAAGGAGGCCAACAGCAAAGTGTCGCAGGGCTGGGTCCTTCTGGAGGCTCCGGGAGGAGTCCGTTCCATGCCTTTTCCAGCCTCCGGAGGCCACCTGCGACCAGCCATCTCCACTCTGACCTCTGTGTCTGTCACCAGGTCTCCTTGGACTCTCCTGTTTCCCTTGTCCCTTGTGAGGACCCTTGTGATGACAGCAGTCAACCGGCCAACCTCCTCATCTTGCCTTCCTTGATATAATCACATCTGCAAAGTCTCTTTGCCACATAAGGTAACATCGTCACAGGTGCTGGGGACAAGGACATGGACGTCTTTGGAGAAGCCATTACTCTGCCTGCCACACCTGTTTTTAAAAGCTTTAGAATAAACAGAGCATGTAATGTGGAAAGAAGTCCTGCAAATTACTGCTCAAGTATGAGGACTTCTCCGATGAGCCACCTCTGAAGGGCACTCCGATAGGTTTCGACTGGCTCTTTGTGTTATTGAGAAACGTGTTGTCGATGGGTCACTGTTTGACAGGCAAGCTGTCTTTCCTCTCCAGCTGCTTTCAAGACTTTCCTTTTGTGCTTGGTGTTGACAGTCTCGCCATGCTGCATCTGGGTACAGATGTACTTTTTTCTCCATCATGCTTGGGGTCCCGTTCTCCAGAAGCTGAGGACTCGTGTCTTGAAGTGACATAGAGTGACATCTCTCAACCCATACATCTCTGTGAGTTACATCTGTCCCTATTCTCTGAGTCCTTCAGGACCCTAATGACATGGGCATTAGACTTTCTCTCTGGCCTTCAGACTTCTCAGCCACTTTTCCACACTTTCTGTCATCCCTTCATCTCTTGAGTTACCCTAAGTTATCTCCTCAGGTCTGACTTCCAGTTCACTGAGCTCATGATTGACTGTTTCTCCTGTGCATTGTGCTTCAGGCTGTGAGTGGACATTCACTGAGCTCTAACTGGGAACTATGTGCACCTCGGTCTGAGGG